ATTGGCAATCAGATTTGGTTCACTGGAAAAGGGCGGTTTTGTCCAGTTTAAAGTGTGCCAAGTAAACGTATGCATATATTGATATCCTTAGGCATAGGGTGAGTAGACAGTACTGCAGAGCTTCGAACTAGGAAGAACCGAAAACAGTACTCGTGGGTTTGTATTGATTATTTGCGTTAAACGGCAATGTTATCTCAATCTTTACTTCTTTAGAATTATTCAGACTTACTAATTGTAAATGGCTATTTCCATTGTTCGTATGGTGGAAATAATTTACATTTTAGTGTCCACCCATTAATGTATTCCTATTACTAAACAATGGTAAATAATAAAATGTGGTATTTTTTATAGATATTTGTCTAGTTCAAAGATATTTTTACGATAAACGAACGTCACCTAGAGCACCACTGAAAATCGATAATTAGTGAACGACTGTTTCATCCCACTTTGTAACTAAGTAGTGTACATTTCCGAGGGTATTTCTTTAGTGAGGTTTAAAGATCAGAGATCATATCCTTTGTTTAGATCTCGAAATCTCATTCGTGTTCACAAAATAATCAACAGTGTGAGTACAACATAATCTTTGACGTAATAAACACTGAGGTAGCAAATAAAAACTAATCACTACACGTATTTGTAATATTTATCTAACAATTCACTTAAGATAATTAAGGTGACAGTTGTCTGAGAAAATAAATTATCATTTTATAAGCTAATGAAAATCAATTTCTCTAAAATATACTAGTACATAAGTAAATTATACGCAAGTTCTCATATCATCATGTCAAATAAATTTGTTCCAACTGAATTCCTTGTCTTATATTTCCTGATCAGTGAAATTATAATAACATGAAATCTTGTTATACTATGACGTAACTGTATTGAAAAACGTAAACGGTGTGCGTGACTTCATTTACTGTATACTGGAACGGTATTAGGAATATTTATATTGTTATGACTTTATGTCCGGCTTTTCATCGCGTGATTTATCCACCAATCAAAATACGACTTATACAATTTTAGCACTGTGCCAAACCAATGATGTTCGACCGGTATGAGCAGCCTAGCGTCTTTATTGGTCCTATGTTCACCTAGCCCGTCCACTTGAATTCAGAACACCAATAACAGTTTCCACTATGCGAATCATATGTTTCAAACATACTAGGTTTATTTCACTTGATATTGTTTTACTTGAATCTTCCCATTGATGTTTTTGGACTGAAATTGATCAGTCTCTTATTGGCATATGTGCATACTGTGCGTATGCCTAGGTTTATATATCAAACAAACACCGCAACGCACCATAAAATAGGAAACAACATTTGTACATAATAAAGCCAAAAAGTGGCTGTGAACGTAGGAGACAGTAATTAATAAACTGAGCATAATTTAGGGACAGTACATCATATTATAATAAATTATAAGTCAAAATGAAGCTTATAATAAGAGGAATATAAATATACATAATCTAGTTACTGAATAGTTATACAATAAGAATATATAGATAATATTAGTCCATTAATAGATCTCAGACGTTACTCGTACTTTAATCTTCGCTAGGATATAACATATATATGTCCAACAGATTTGCTTCTTTGACATTTTTCACTCAAACTTAGTAGTATAAGAAATATCTGTTGGCTTGATGTGATATGGTCATCTTATGAGGAAATATGTGATTAACAGGAGGTTTGCCACATCTATGGAAATTATTACGTTAAAAGACTAGGTATCTTTGTCATAGAATACAAATTTCTAACAAATGATTGAACAAAACTTGATTTTTTTTTAGCATAGAAGACCCATATAAACATATAAACAATGCAAAACATGTGTTCTATAGTATATGGACAACAAATACTTCACTTAACGAATATCATGGGTTTAATGTGCTATATCCTAGTGAAGATTAAATTACGGGTAATTTCTGAGAACTATTAATGGACTAGTATATATATTCATATTTTATAACTGTTCAGTAACTAGATTATTTATATCTATATTCATCTTAGTGTAAGCTTCATTTTGACCTATAGATTATTATTATACGACTTACTGTTTTAAGTTATGTTCAGCTTGTTGATTACGGTCTTCCACGCTCACAGACACTTTTTGGCTTGATCTTGTATAAATGTTATTTTCTATTTTATGGTGTGATGTGGTCTGTTTGGTTGGAGTGTAAACCAAGTATGTTTGAAATAAGTGATTCGCATAGTGGGAGCTGTTATTGGTGTTCTGGACTTTTAGTGGCCCATCACGTTGACATCAATTAGATGCACGATGTTGTCGACGGGCTAACCACTTTAGTGGCCCGGGATCTGACTCCAATTAAATCGTATGAATGTTCGTTATTTAATGATTGCTGTCAATATATATATGTCGCCTATCCTCGTATATTTCATCGACTTAAATCGCGTTAGTCAATAACGGAATTAAATAAGTCAAATACGAGTATGAATTTTGAATACGTATATTTCATACAATCGTTGATCCGGACAAAATATCGGAGAAGCAAAGGGGGAGAGAGCGAAGCGAAACGACGCGCGTTGAAGAAGGCTTGTAAGCCAACTCCGTTTAGTCAAGCGTTAATCAATATTTATAGTCACACAAAATTAAGCTACATACACGTGATGAATGAGATAAGAAGGACACACACATATGTGCTCACATTAAAACAACCAAGATTGATAAGCAAATAATTAACAAGGTTAAAAGTGTGACTCAATTAGAATGAATAGATTGGCCTGTCCGAAAGCTAGAATAAGTTATGTGGGTTCAACATAATAATCGACACTCAGACTCAACTGGACGGACTAGACGAACAAAGGACTAATTAGGACTCTAAGCTGCTTATACCGCTCGGACGTCATTGGCTTAGCACAGTACTAAGATTGGATTAGTCGTATTTCGATTAGCAAATAAATCAAGTGATAATAAACCGGCCCTAAAATCACAACATAATTAATATTTTCTTATTAGTTAGCGTAAACTTGTACTGCGCGGATTGATCAATCATTATTATTTGAAGGTTTTATGATCATTAAAGAAATTAAATAATAAACATAATTCCATTCATAGTATTTCTATATAATCTTAGAATCAAATAGATCCAGGAAAACCATAGAACTGAATCATTCGTTTTCTTAATGGCTATTTTCGATGTAGATTTCTCAAAGTTCCAGTAAAAGCCATGACCTATGAAGTCATTTATTTTTTTAGAGTAGGATAGACAGCAACTGAATAAATGGAATAATAGTCCTTTGATAACAACAGGTGATCGGATTTGTTAAATGCAAAACATTTTATGTCAAATCAATAATCAATCCGTTTTGTGTTAACAATGAGGCCCAGGGATTTTCTGTCTGATAATGTGTTTTACTATGATCGTTCACAGTTGAAGTATACGGAATTTAGATGAAAAGTTTTCCCAGTGATACTTTGTTTTCAATGGTTTTTCACATTCTATCAATCCATAATGAAATTATTTTACTTAGATTAATGATGATGATTTTTAGAAGATAGTTCAGGTAATTTCGATATACTGGATAAAGTGTCAAAAATGTCTGTAACTGGCGATGATTGATTTGATTAACAACATCTTGAAATTCACTAACTCTTACCTTAGGCTACATTTTTCATTATTACAGCATTTTTATTCTTTATTCATTTTCTTGTTTATTTCTCAGTTTTCTTTCTTAACTTCAGTGGAAAAAGAAATGAATTACAATCGTCCCGTCTAGAACTATATGCTAAGATTTCAAAGTACGATATCCAGTCACGTAAACAAGATAGTTACGTATATACATAGTCACTTCTGACGTAATACATAATAATAATTAATCAATCAAAAAATGTGATCTAAAAATATATATAGTAAAATAAAGTCAAAATACTGAGTGGATACATAAAGAATTATTTATTTAGACAAATTGTGAACAAACTGAATACAGAACTGAGATGGATAAACATGAAAATAATAAAAATGAGCTAAGAATCTCTTTAGATCATTTTATAATTTACTCTTGATATTGATGAGTTCACTGAACGATATGGTTTAATCATCTACCTTTAGTTGTCATTAGGAACAACATCGTGTGTGCTTACTGCATGTATGATGGAGCTGTACAATCGTCAACTAAATAATTATGTTTCAAATCACAATTCTGTATCTTATTTTGTTGATCATTTTCAATAAAATTTCTACTCTTCCTCATACTGGACAAGAAAACTACTTTTCATATCTCACTTCTATGTGTTATTTTCACTCGTGCTGCACTTTTAATTTTTGATTAACTTATATTATCTTTGTTACTAATACAATAACCTTTATTTTCGACTATATTATCTGCGAAGTAACTATAGATACGGTTATACTAATCCAGTAAATAACATCATCAAATTAAAAATTCCCCTTGTTTCACTGTCTTTATTTTGTTCAGCAACGTAATGGTTCTTTTCCGTTGTTTTAAAACATATGAATTCCTTGGAAAATACAGTTTTAATGGAGTTAAGTACCTATGACCTATAATGATGACTCTTTTATGATAATAGAAACCTTTGCTATCGCAGTTGAATTGTTAAAATTACTGAAGTGACTGACATATGATAATTTCCTCACGGAAATAATTTCTAATCACAAGCCAATAAATTTCAGAAAACATGGTAACTTAGTAAATTCGAAGGTAATTAAAACTTATTTTTTACACAAAATATTCAGTCAACATAATCATGACACATCAGTTAACAAATGATCATCAAATGATAAGAGAATGTATATTAAGTAATAATCAACATGAATTTACTTTTTCCCAACTAAGTACTGAATATTATCTTTCTACTATAGGAAAGAGTTATATCTGGATTTGAAATGGCATCAAACAACAAATTACACAAAATTAGTATAAAAATGAGCTTAGTTGTCAACTACATAAAATTTTCTACAATTACTTTTGCTAATGTACTATTTTCGTTCTTTCTTTTTTGTTGTTGAAAAACTCCAGGTGATAACGAATTTGTGCAAATCACAACAAAATCATGTTTGAAAAAAATGGCTAAATATTTTAGTGATAATGGTCAAATCTGTCGAATTTATACTATTCCTCATTTGTACTCTGATGCAAAACCTCTGAATTCATTTTTCAATTTTTGTAGAGCTGATGAATTACCAAATATTTTAATACAACCACTTACTATTGAACATGAAAGATTGAATGAAACATGGTTACAAACTCCATGTAAATTATGTGAAAAATTCAAATGGTCAGGTGAACGATATACTTGTTTATTTTGTCCAAATATAGTCTTATGCAGAGAATGCTTTTATACAGGTTATCATAAAGAACATCCTCTTTTATGTACTCGTAATAATAAATTATTTTCACAGAAATTATTACAATGTTCACGTTTAGCTGTAGCATCAGTACCATGGAGGAATACATTGCCAAAAGTTAACAGAGATCCGAAAACTGATGATAGAATAAGACAATCAATTAGTATGATACAAAATAAAGAGAATAATTATTTCAATCAAAAAGATGAAGTTTCAAAGAGTGAAAAACAAAACAAACGAATAACATTGTTTAAGAAATCAGCTTAAATGGATTGTTATTGAAATAAATTTTCTTTATTCTGTTCACAATAATCATAGTTTGGTTGAGTCAAGAATTGTAACATATTGTTCAACTAAAATAAAACATGCTATTAAATAAGATATTTCTCTATTTACTGAGCGAATTTTCATTCTTGTTATTTATGAATAATGACTTCAAGAAATATTAGTTATCTCTGACTGTGAGCCTAGGTGACAAGGGATCGAATCCGTCAGCGACCATCAGTTCCCTCAAGATTACAGTTACACCTTGCTGATAACTGCCAAGTAGCACGAAACCTTGGTCCAGGGTTTCCTGTTCACTACCATCTTATTTCAACATAATGCACGCAATGTCGAGTCACCTAGACTAGTGACCACATTGCAACATTGTCGATAGTATTCGATCTGCACTAAGAAGGACCTGATATACATGACACCGATCACCACCCAGTGATCAATCAATTGCAAATTACAATTTCATAATGTGTAGGGAGATTTGGTACTTAAGTTTCATGGAAAAATTATAAAATTTAGGGAATTTTTCTGTTGTAGTGGCTGTGCTTCGTTAATCATTCACCTTTGTAACTGTTATTATATACATTTCAACGGTGTTTGAAATCAGAAGGCAATAAGAAGCGGTAATAACAGTCTATTGGCGGATAGTACGAATTACAAAGCTATAGGGGCATTGATCGAATTTATAGCAGCGAAGCAAATATTCTTATTTGCTATTCACTTATTTAGTGAATATTGAAATATATATTTAATTATTAACACTAGAGTGAAGCTATTAGCCTTCACTCACAAACTTTCTTGAATAGTTTTGAACTTATTAAGTTTTTTTTAGTGAATGAGTTTCATGGCATCTAGACTTTTTTAAAGGTACGTATAAAGAAAATATACTAACATCCATCATCGTTTGGCCCTAAGGTTTTTAGTAATTATAATTATAATCATTCAATTTAAAAGATGACAAATATGTGACGATTTATTGCATTATTTACATGACTAAAAAAAGCGGGCTCAGAAGTTTAAGTAAGTTACCTTTATGAATATACAGAAGCCTAGGTAGTAGTAACTGATTCCAAGGTATTGTTAGATTAAAATTAAAGTCGAAGAAGATTAAAGTTAGCGGAGAAAAAACTGTAATTGATGGCAAAATTTGTATAATAGGTACGTATTAATGAATACAAATGATATGGTTAACCGGTACCTAATTGATTTGAGTTAGATTAACATTCAAAATTGATTTTTTCCGATCTTCTATGGAATTTCATTAAATTTTAAGTACTCATATTTGTAATATCTACTGGTCATAAATAATCAACGATATAATAGTGTATATCTACATTTATTCGCCAAATTAATAATTAATTCATGTCAAGTACAAGTCAGTTTATTGAGCACAGATCATTATAAGTCACAAAATTCAGCAATTTGGAATGGAGAGTAGATGCATCGCTATAGAACAGAAATGAAAAATCCTATATAAAAGCAGCAAGGAAACTGTCTAAAGAAAAAAGATTTCATTCAGATATGAAGTATTTACTGTTTGTTATTCTTATGACCGGTAGTTGATACTGTTTCTTTTAGTGCTATGTGTACTTTGTGTATTGGTCACCATTTTAAGACTGATTGCAGCTATCATTACCTTACTGTATACATGTTCTGAATCCAAACTATGTATCTGATATTGTTCGGTATTTAATAACCGTTTAATCTTCATTTTGTTCAAAACTGTTTCTATGGTGCTCATTATATTGGATTGTCATACTCTTATTGAAACTTTATAAACTAATTGCTCTGTTTTATGTGGTTGATTTTTAAGCACGTCTTCTGTTTGTTTTAAGGACGTTTGCCATTATTCACTGTTGGATGTTCATTTTTGGAGCAAATTCAATTGACTTAACCTTCTTCTTCGAATAGGATGCTGTTCTTTAACTGATAAAAATATTTTCTTCATGACCACGACTAGCTCCTGAGAAGCTGGGTTTGGCTAAAAATGAATTTGACCACATGATAGACTTGGAAGTAATTCGACCATCAAACAGCCCATGGGCATCCGTCTTGTACATAGTCCCTAAGAAGGACAACAACGGTTGTCGTCCAACTGGTGACTATCGGCGATTAAATGAGGAAACCATTCCTTATCGTTACTCCTTTCGTCAAATCCACTATTTGACAGATACATTGAAATGTAAAACTGTTTTTTTCGGAAATCGACTTGGTTAAAGCGTATAACCAAATTCTTATGGCTGATGACGACGTTCCAAAAACGACTATCACCACGCTCTTCGAACTTTGCGAATTTCTGTGCATGTCATTAGGTTTAAGAAGTGCTGCACAAACTTTCCAGAGATTCATCGACGACTAATTTTAAGGTCTCAACTTCATATATGCGTATGTTAATAACTACTTAATTGCAAGTCCGGACAGAGAATCTCATTCCCAGCATCTGGACTTTGTCTTTGAACAACTTCAAAACATGGAGTTAATGTAAACATTCCGAAACGCCAAACAGGAACCAGTTTTATAGATTTGATCACTCTTGCATAACGAACCCGCTGACCGCTGTGGACGGACGAGCACCCACCCTTGCTGGCAAGAGAAGGTTTGATGTGACGCACCTGATAGGTTCAGCCACAAACGTCTCATCAATTAGCTCAAACTATTAGGTATTAAGTCACAATTAATAGACTCGTTTACTTCATATTTAAATAGTTGACATTCTAAAGTCTAGGTAAACTTTGCTTTTTCTCAGGCTACGAAGTGTCTTAATGAAGTTTTCGTGTCGATGGGTACAATTCGTTCTATTTATCAAAGAAATCAGACTGGTAGTTGATAGGTATTTATTTAGATCGTGGAACAGACTAGTTTGAGCGCTAGGTTGTCTTTTTCAAACACAAAGTTTTCACCAACGAACATAAAAAATGGGGAATATTATGCCTATATAGAATAAGAAAGTGAATAAATACTTATAATGTTTTGACATTCAGATGTTTACGGTCAACTCTAAACTAGTCAACCTAAGTTCTTTCAGGGTCTTCCGGGGCTCGTCACTGGAACCTATTCTCACCCGTTAAACATAAGAGTCAAGTTTGCAATCAAGATGACAACCTGGTACTTCAAGAGGATCTGAATGGACTTCAGAGTTTGGGAGATAGCGAACTGGTTTTCGCTGCTTCAGAGCGCGAATTAATCTATGTGAAACATACAGCAGAATACGCATACAACTTATTTAACCCTCCTTTAGAGGTGTCGCGAGTTGAAAAAGACATAAGCGTGCTGATAGCTTGTGGTCTAGTCTTACTCTGAAAGAAATCTTTAGAGCAGACCTTGAACAAGTAATGTTGGAACACATTTTCGGCCAGTTTGGCAGTAAAACTTTCCACTTAATCTTCGACAGTTTTATACGGCCTTATTTACGGTATGGGAACATAGTATTCCCTCCATCGATTCAAAATGATAGGAATACATTGAAGTGTGTTCAGATGTGAACAATCAAATCAGTTTGAGGACTTAAACTCAAACGTTACCAAAAAGCGCACCAAAAATCACTGGATCCTCACTCATTAGAGGATAGGCTTCATAGATGTGACTAAAAAACTTGTGGCATCCTAAAAACTCGTGAGTACTCTAGTAAATAATTACCTGGGTTCAGTTCCAACACAAAATTTGGTAGTTACATCCGTAAATTAGAGACTCAACATAGCAGAAGTCGTAGACACACCCTAGAGATCCCACAGATATTCGGATTTTAACAACACCTTTAAACTCAACGCCTTGATAATCGAAATATAACAGCCCAGTTAGATCAAAAGTCAGAAGTGGTAGAGTTCGGAGACATGTTTAGCAAGTCATCGGCATGTTGAATTGCGTTTGATCTAGACTGGCTAGTGGTTGTAAGGGATGCGTAGGAGCAGATGCGTAGTAGAACTAAGAAAGCCAGCATCAGTGTCAAATGCCTTCCGAAACATTTGTTTTGGGGCCTACTTATCGCTATCTTTACCAGTAGTCAAATTCTAGAGTTGGCTGACGGCGAAGTTTGTCCAAGTGACTTCTCATGAGTCCTTCAAAAGGACAGTTTATATATTCTTCAGTACTCGGAATGGCTTTTAGTTATAATTTATGAATATTTCTGTTTCGTTCGTCAAATATACCTACTTGCTTACCTAGAGGCATCGAAGGCTTTTGTATCATATTAGCCGCATAAATTAAGTGGGTGCGGTACTTTCCATAAGTAAGGATGTAGTTGGTCGCTATTGTAGTCAAGGCGAGGTAGTAGAAACATGTTGTATTGCGTTTCCATTATTATTGTATATTTTTTCAATGAAGTACAGCTACAAATGACTACTAGTAATTATGTCGCGTATGTATATAGTAATCTTCACGAGGATATCTCAACGAACGTCTTTTCAGTATTGATTTTATTGTTCAGTTGTTACTTCACTTATGTCGATATCAGCATTTTCACCATTTACTAAGGTTTGTATATTCCACTTGATAAGTAAAGGCTATGTCTGTTTTGCTTAAGAACGAGTTAAAAAGTAATCAGCTTCTGTGCCGTTATGGATACCGTCGTATGATAGTTTCTCTGAATTTGTGATTTTTTTGCCCGACCGCGGCCATATGATATGTCTGCGAAATCGCCTTGTTTTGTAAATACTCTTATCACATCACCGAAATTATTATTTCGGTGAAGCGAAGCGTATGGTCAACGGTGAGCGTTCTCGTTAGAACTGTGCTCTTTGACGTAGAGATTGTGTTACCAAACCTGGTTAGTTGACGACTGTACTTGAGCTTTGCCTAGACACAGTTATTTGCCATATCTTGTTCTGGGTTTTTATATAACCCGTATCATTCTAGTTTACCTGGTCCATGGCTTGCTATCAAAGTAGTTTCCTTGAAATACTCTAATTAACGATGCACAAGTGTTCGATCTTTCCAAATGTTAACTTGTTAAAAACTAATTTACTTGCCTATTTTATAAAAGGAAGAATCGAATTAGTCGATCCCGGACTACTCTGCCATGGATGTTTTGTCATCGCAGCATTCGATCGAAAACCAAGTGATCAGATTTGGACGAACTCATTCCCTAAAGTAATTGCTTCTTTGCCTATCCGCATCGTAACGTGCAAACTTTTTTAATCGAATTCATTGGAATCTGTAATATCCGGAAGATGTCATTGCGCATAAATGACTAATTGGAATAAATCACTAAGGAATGATTGACTTTATAGCGTTGATTTTATAGTCTAGAAAATCATAGCACTTGTGTTGGCAATGTATATCAGAGTAGTTTCGACTTCAGAACCAAACGTCTATAGTCATTTCAACTAAAGAGTCAGAGTAGCTAATTTCAATTATCCATGGGTAAGTACTTCAGTTCCTTTATACCGTGATAAGACTTCCCTCAGACCTGGAATTTGCTTGTTTTAGTCTTATACGTCCATAAGCATATTCTGGCTTTGGAGCTAACATAGCATACCCGATTAAGTACGATAAATAATTTGAGTCGGCTTGAAGTTTTCTATCGTAGTTTAAAAAGCTTAAAGTTATTATTCCCGTAACGTGTTAATGCCAGTTTAGGATCACAGATAACTCTGTCTCATTTAGCCTGCTAATATAACTGTCGTTTGTTTGGTCTTCAATTTAAGCCTTTGCAGACTTGAAAATAAGTTTTGTCATCTCCTTTATTCTATTAATTGCAGTTTACACGTGTTCCTTGTAAATGACGACGTGTTTTTGTCTCCCACTTATTCTGTTTCTACATGGATCAAACTTCTATAACCGTGGAAAGCAGTCGTAATTATTTCTTACCAGTAAACTGAATTTCTGTGCACAAGTTTAGAGAATTCACACCATTGACGAAGTTTTTTACCCACTTTCTCATTCATTTGGTTAGTTCCCTTTCGACATACTAATATTAAGTATGGCAACTGCCATTTCGTGAATTATTTACTGTTATTTTTTATGTATTTCTCGTACTATTATAAATAGTTTAAAGTTACACTTATGTTTGCTTTATCATATAGCTCGTCGATTAAACATGAAAATTAATTGGAAGTGCCCTGACTGGAAGACTTATACTCTTGATCCCCCTCCTTTGAAAGAGCACGTTGAGAAATTGGCCAAGCTAGGCTTGAAAGATCCATGGGCTCGGTAGGTGTTATAACTTGATGGTTTTTGGAAAGGCTACTATATATTGGCTAATTCTTGCCATAGTTGGTCAAAATTAATCACTTTTCTCTATGACACTGTGTTTGGATGATACTTAAAATACCAGAGCTAATGTATTGTGATGAGTGTACTGCATACTGTTATACTGCTGTACACTACTAGTTCTCTAATACTATAGGTAACTGTATTGTTTCTATTTTGCTTTTCTTCCTGTTGATTCCTGTGTCTAACAAAAGGCGTTAATTTATAATGGTATACCTTCGTAGTGGGTCCCTCGTTCTTCATTTGCATTTGTGTTACACCTGGTCATTAATATTTCCTTCCCATTTGCTGTTACATTAATGAGTCGGACTTAAAACTTTTATCCGTTATTACTTTAATTATTTGTTGATTCCATGAATTTGGTACATAGAAATATAATCAATCGATCTGAACGCCTCAAACTCTCTGGACAATAAATATTTCTCCTCCATCTCATATATCTTAATTGCGGTGTACACGTGGTTGAGTGAATGCTCTCATATAATTGTTAGAACTTTACTTAGTGCCTTGTTTGAAGTAGTTAATGAAATGTATCAATGCACTGTTGTTTTCTTCATCTCTTGAGTTTTCATGATCTGTGAAATTTTGGAACTAACTACGCTATTTAAATCATACACATCATCCCAACCATTACTTTAGATCATACTCCAGTCTAGCTTGCTACACTAAAACAACACAGAAAAAGGAATATATATGCAAGCGAACAAAAAATGAACACAAGTTAAAATAAGTGGATTTCCACCAGTTGACTTAATTTTTTTTCTGAAAAATCGAAATTAGATACATCTTCGAAACTACGACTTTCATTTTTTATATTTCGAACAGTTTGTATTGAAAAGGTAGATGACCGACAACTACATACAATTTTCCAGTTTCAGTTACCAGGATAACGTTTTGGATGTAATTAGTATTTTTTGACCGGCGCCTAAACCCCACGATAATAAACAGTGATTATGAAATATAATTCTCCATTTAATCTCTCAGCTAATAACTTCGTCTAGTTTCACTTGTACAACAGTGGTATTTAAAAACCAACTACGAAGTGGTCTGGAAGAATTTATTCAAGGTGTCCATGGGTAACTAGAAAGACGGTAAAATTTAATAGATTAATGTAGTATAACTGCTGACTATTGTTAATCAAAAGATAGTTAAGTGCTAGCCATCTTTATATCAGACAAAAAATACCAAATACATGTGAATCGATAGGTGATCGCTCAGCTTGTAAATAAAGATAGGCATGTCTACGCGCGGATGTGTAAAAGCATCCAAAGTTACAAGTGAATATTTCGAAATGACAAATATATAAGTGTATAGAATAAATTCGCATAGTCGTTACAAAGAGTCTATGTGGGTCACTAAAAGTACCCTTGATTCTATTTGCTGGAATCAGGAGATCCAAAGTATCGTTTTGGAGTTTACTGTCTATTCCGCACTGAAAAGCAGGTTCGGAATAATGTTTTTTTAAACAAATGGCTTATACTTTCTAATTCTGTTATGCCCTTCGCGACTTCACATAATACCTGAAATCATGAAGAACAACTTGGAAAGTTTCTGAACAACTCTTTCGTTTTCCAATATTCCACATATTAGTCCATGGTCCAAATCCGACCAGTTTTTTGATAATTGTAGTGTTGTGGGTATTTTTTGTGACCAAAAATAATGCATTGCCCCAAAGATTTATCGCTTAAAGTGTCTTTTCTTTAAAATTTCTATTTTTCAGCAATTATGCTTGGCAATATTTACCGAAAATTTACAAACCTCGTTCTCAACGGTTTAGAGAAATACTTCTTGCAAGACTACCTCATGGTGTAGCTCTAGGAATTGTAGCCTCGATCCTAATAAATCAATTTGACAGATGGCGTAAAGGCGAATTCAGTGCAGCAAAACATTAACAAGTCATCTTGTTTTGTTTCCCATTCATTGGATTTTTAATTTTCGTTTAAATTAGTGTTAGAACCTTAAGTGTTATGTTCATTGTAAAAGAAAAAAAATAATGACAGAATTCGGGATCTATAAATATGTAAACGTGACTTACTTGTTCAGTGCTTTGCGTAAATGGGGTGCATTTGAAAATTAAATAAATACCTGTCCGAGTATCATCAGGTTTATTTGCTCTCAGTTTCTTTGATTAATTTTAGTTTGAATTGTTTATGATGAAATAATGTGTCGCGTCCAAATGTTAAGTGAAATTATAAAATCACAATTATTTAAAAGGAATCTATTTAGCTAGTTGAATCCTTTTAATCATGGAATATGGGTCGAGTTCACTTTTTCGTAAAGCATTCTTTATATTTTATCATTAGGTTGTTTCATTTAATGGAGATGATTGATTTCCAGTTACCTTTGCGGAGTTTTCAGTTCAGATGCACTGCTGCTGAGGTAGCAATAGTATAATACTGTCTACGTTAATGCTATTCTGAAGACTACACATTCAGTATTCACGAAAGCGATTTGTTTTTTATTAGAATTTATCATCAGCAGTAAACTGGATTGATGAAAAACTTAGACTTAAAGAATATGAAGGCCTATGTTTGGCGATAATTGGTTCGTTTGAATCCTGGCATCTTTTCTAAGGTAATTTGTACAGCTCAATTACTATAGAGGACACATCTAACATTCCTGGATTATTCTATAGCCTATACTTTCGCATGAATACAGAATGAGCGAATTCGGCAGTTATGACAATCACCAGTTTTGGTTGATGAATGTAACAAATATTGAAATGCCACGTGGTTTTAAGTTATGCGAGATTTGTTAATGAAGACAAAGATGACAATTGTTTACCTCACTAGGTATTGATCCTCAATGGCAAATGTTTTCGTCTTAAATCTACTTAACTTCATTGTAGAAGTGAACATTACATTATTTGAAGCTATCGGTATTTGGTTCCTAAAATTATGTTTAATATAATTGATATGCATTCCTATAAAACTCGACACTACACCTGTTGCGAAGCAGGATTTTATCTGTTTTGTGCTTTAATTAAATTCCATAAAGGGAAATACTTGAATTTCTCTTTTAACTACTGTTAAGATGTTAGTAGTGTGAACAAATTTATTAATTTGTAAAGAAATTGAATCTAGTAATTATGTGCTTTTACTCTATATAACACGTACTTTAAAGTGTTAAACATCTTCGTAACTGGAAGAAAAACAGTTTATGTTATTAGGAAATAACGAATTGAAAATTTTAATTATTTACGTGTTTATTTGAAAAAAATTGTCGAATTTAATTTGATTTGAAATATAGAGATGTCGACTGTTTAATGTTCATATTAAATTGAACTCCAAATCTTGACTAGATAATCACCAAATGATAATTGACAATCGAATAGATATATATGTGTTATAGGGGGTAATCTATCACTAAGAAAGTGAATATTTTTCTATGATTACAAGCTCAGTACTTGATTAAAACGATTAATCTAAGATAGGAATATATACTGATGAAAATGATCAAGACGGAATCACTTCTACTTATTAAGTTTAATATTAATGTACTCATGAGTTTCTTTTCTCGGCTTTAAAATCTAATGTATCCTTATTTTCTCTAACTCTCAGTGTTTCTTAAATAGGAATAAACAATCGGTAAATTAGTACCATTATAAGGATTAACTGATTGTTAGTTTGAAATATGATGAGACGTTCTTAGTTTAAGAAATTGGTAGTATTCAAAAACTGTTCATTTTTGTGATTCCAATGAACTATGATAAGGAAGCTATGGATCAGTGATCTTATTGTCAAATAAACTTACGCGACAAAACCACTGTCCAACAATTGATTGCCTATGAACTTTTTGTTACAGAAGACGAATTATATCTTTGATGAATTTTACACAATCCTCTCCAGTATACACAGCTCTGGTTAATTTGACAGGAGAAGAGAAAGAGGCTCTAAAAATATCATGATTTCGAACACGGAATATTTTTCAAACAAATTAAACACTAGATTGTTTGTATTTGCAACGTGTTATCTGAAGAAGCGACTTACTCTTGGTCACCGAACACCAGAAATCCAATCTTATTATGATGTTACAAGTGCATTATTATTGGTCATCATTGTCTTGTAATTATGACTTAGTTTTCACGTAATACTGCATCTCACGATGCTCCACTGCCTTGTGGGTCAGACCTTTAGGTCAAAGGCTCCGAGTGTGGCCCCCTAAGAAAACCACCTGCTTCGGTCTGGGCACCCGGGCAGTATCACATCCCACACACAAACAGAATGAAATGACGATACTTATGGAAAATACTATACTTGCTTCGATTAACAGTCAAACAATTCACATTATTATTTACTACGTCATTTATTCACTCTCTTTTATTCCCACTTTATGTATCCTTATTTTTCGACTTATACAGCAGCTCGCCTATGGTGGGAACTCGGTTCAATCTAAATGTTCTCGAGTCACTGCCTGGTTGAAAATTCTATGCTACCACCAAATACGAATACTGAAGCAGTTTTTCTGAAACCGTGTGCACCATTCAAACTGGCTGCCTTCAACGTTCGCACATTTATGCAGGTCGGACAACAGATAGGGCTGGCTATGTCTTTGGGAAGTCTTAATATCGACGTTTGTTGTCTATCCGTGATCCGTATTCAAGACTTTGGTGAAGTACTACAAATTCGCTCTCCATCTATTGCTTCAAAAAGCTTCTTTTACGTGCGCTTATCCGGAGACCCTGTGACAGATTCGTCTGGTCTTGTTGGCGTTTGTGTCGCACTGAGCGCTAGAGCTGAGGCAGCACTAATCGATTGAATCCCCATTAACAGTCGGTTATGTGCTGTTAGATTAGAAAGTTCCATCAAAGTGAGAAGAAATCGGCGTGAGAAACGATGTCTTTTCGTCATCTCCGCCTATGCCCCGACAGATTGCAGCCCGGATGCAATCAAGGATGAGTTTTACCACCAGTTATCTGTTCTTCTCCAGAAAGTGCGTTCGACAGATATTGTAGTACTAGTCGGAGACTTGAATGCTCAGGTCGGGCGTCTAGGCACAGAAGAGAGTCGTTTAGGTGGGGACCTGTTAGTCGCAGGACAGATAACGGGGACCGTCTACTGCAACTGTGCACAGACCACAACCTGTTTCTGGCTAGCACTATCTTCCGGCACAGTTATCGCCGATGTGCCACCTGGCGTCCTCCCTCTGCATCTCAAGCCTGGACTCAGATTGATCACATCGCGATCAGCTACCGCTGGCGTGGTTGTGTACAAGACTGCCGCTCTTTTTGGAGTACATATCTGGACTCTGACCATGTTTTGGTCTGGGCCAATCTTACCTTACTTTTCAGTGGACAACGAAGTGACCACCACCAAAAGATTGATGTTAGCAAGCTGGTCGCAACTTCTGTTGCTAGTAAGTATCGAACCGAGCTAGTTTCTAGGCTAGCTACCACTCCACCGAAAAGTATAGATGAGCATTGGTTACAATTGCATGACGCCATGAAAATGGCGGGAACAGTCAGTTGTGGGTTCGCGAAACGTCCCGCTTTTAAGCGCTGGGTTTCTTCTGGTTCCTTACAACTCATTGAAGCCCGTCGGTCTACTCCGGGTGACCATGAGTTTGACCACAAACGAAGGATGTTACGTAAGGAAATTGGGCAAAGCTTGCGTAAGGACCGAGAGGCTTGGTGGTCGGAGCGTGCTAATGAGCTGGAAGTAGCAGCTGCATCTGGTAACTCCCAGAAGCTCTTCCAACTCATGCGGGCCACTGGCAGCAAGAAGTCTGGTGTGAGCGAGACAATCTGCGAGGATGACGGGATGCCAATCACCAACATCCATCGACGTCTTGGACGGTGGGCAGAATTTTTCGAAGGGCAGTTCAACTGGCCTGCTGCTCCGGCAACATCGGTCAGACTGTCCTGCCCTCCATGACCGTTGACGACTGATCTACCAAATGAGGCGGAAGTCCTCAAGGAACTCCGACTCTTGAAATGAGTCGATAGTTGTCCCTATCTTTAAAAAGGGTTCCTGCAACAACTATCGGGGGATAAGTCTACTTCCGATTGCGTCCAAAGTATTGGCTTCTGTCAAAATTTTAAATTTATTCAAACCCAGAGAAAGATTGACTCGCGAGGAGCAGGCTGGTTTTCGTTCTGGTCGAGGATGTATTGATCATATCTTCATCCTCCGCCAAATGTTAGAACATCGTCACACTTATCACAGGCCAACAATCGTGATGTTTCTTGACATCAGGGATGCCTTTGATTCGTTGGACAGGACTGTTCTTCGGGATTATCTATTGAAAAAGGGTGTGCCTGAGAAGTTTATTAACATCCTAAATGCCCTATATACAAACAGCTCAGGTAGAGTGAGGGCATACAACCAACTTTCTCCATTGTTCCAATCAAACAGTGGGGTTAGGCAGGGTTGCCCAATCTCAGCATTCCTCTTCAACTTTGCCATCGACGACATTCTGGAAACAGCTCTGATGAATGTAATTAATGGCGGTGTGTATCTGTTGCTTGGAGAAAAACTTCTCGACCTTGAGTATGCGGATGATATTGTCTTACTGTGCGATAATGCCCAAAGCATGCAATCCGCACTTAATCAGTTGGCAATCAGTGTCCGTAGGTATAGTATGTGTATGAAGCAACTTCCTACAGGTGTAACTCTAAGCTATTATCTAGACCATCGAACACAGAGTCTTGGTTTAGCCAAAGTCAGAACAAGTAAGCTATTTGGCTTGATAAACTTTATCTGTTTCTAAAGCATAAATTAACACCATTAGTATACAAAATAAACAATACAGTCTATCAACAAAGGGAAAAACAGAGACATAAATAACATACCGAACATTAGCTAGAGGATAGGGAAAATGAGTCAACAAGGCAAATATTGTTTTATAATGAACATAAAATTGTGATTGTTGAATAAACAAGACTTAGTCATACAAGGTCAAAGAAAGTTAATGTGGTGGTGGGCGTCTCACTTTATCATTGGTGAGTTCGTTTATTGATCACACCTTACAGTATGTGCTTCGCACCTTCGAATTGCGAAGTACTTCTCCAAGACTGGCAGGACCTTAATCCTGTACTCACCCTGGATGGTGAGCAGATAGAAGTAGTCGAGAAGTTCGTGTATCTAGGTAGCTGGTGGTG